CTATGAGATCTATTTTCAGATTTAAAACCGCTCAAATTACTAAAAAAACAACAAATTAGCAATGAATTTTAATGATGGAATTTTCATCATTAATTAATTTAGCGACAGAATAACTATAGCTAATAAATTAGTAATTTTGTTTGTGAAGAAATAATTCTGTCATTATTATATTGTCTTTTAGTGAATTTAAAGATTTTAATATGTAATTTCCACATAATAAATTTATTTTTTTCACCAAATGAGTTTAAAGATTATTTTTATTTTAGATTATATATCTCTTAAAATGGAAAAAAAAGTGTTAAAAATGTGGGAAAAAAAATCATATTGATTCTAGATTGTCCAATATAGTTTTTACTTTAGTATTTAAGTGATGAGCACACAGCTCATTGCAGCTAATTTAGTGAAGAATATCACTATTTATGCTCTTGTAATATTTTTTTTTCAATTAGATTTTTCGATAGCCTTGAGGGTGCTGATCTTGAAAGTAATATTTCTTAGAAAGAATTATAATCAAGCCCTAAAAAAAAAATTATTAAAAAGTCTTAATAACAACATCAATAATTTATACTGATAAGTTTCATAATAGACAATGACAATTTTTAGGACTTATTTTATAATTTTTTTTTAGATTTGATTGTAATTCTCTCAATTTCTTATTACTCCCCTAAATAGTTTTCTTAGATTTACGATTATGATTATTAATTTCACATCTATTATGATGATTACAGTTTTAATTCATTTCGGATGTTCTATATAATTGTCCTCATCATATGAACCTTCTCTTTTCGGATGTGAATTAACATGAATGATCCGTAACATAAGAGATCTGATCATTAATATTACTCGGCAATTAAGTTTTTACTAGATTTTATCCATATCGGGACGACCATAAATGTAGAGGAGACAAATTTTTTATAGCAAAACATTTGCAATTCCATCATGGAACAACTACTGGAGTTTACATTAAAAAAGAAAAGCACAAAAGCAAACAGCAAAGATTCAAAAACAAACTAAAAAAAAAAAAGTTCTTTCGAACACTTTTTGAGCCATGAAAAACACTCCAAATGAAGCTTGATTTCTTGAAGAAACTTCACATAGGAGAGAGAAGATATACGTCTCTTGCCGCTTTCTTGAATGCTTCCTCCACTGAAAATGCCTCTGAAATTGATCCGAATTCTGCTTATTTGCCTGCAAAATTCACCAATATAATGATAGATGTTAAATCTTAAACACCCAATTTTTTTTTTTAAAAAAAAGGCCGTTGTATGCTTGAAGATTGGGGGACACAAACCAAAAAAAAAAAAAAACGAACACTTACACGTGCTTGAATCTTGTACGAGGTTTTATAATCATCAGTTGAGATGGTGACACACAAAACCTGAATGTTATACTTGTGAAGAACACAAACGATGTCGCCGTAGAGGTCTGGCTTGTTGGGATAGCACATTCTGAACTGACCTTCTTCCCCACAAATGTTCACTACCACATTTGGAAAAACCCAAGTTTGAAACCCTATGGGGTTTTGTGGAACTGATGTGAGTTGATGAGCAGTGGCCATGGAGGGAGGTCCTTGGCTGGCTGTGGGATAAGCAGAATTATTATTGGAGGCAGATTGGAGTCTCTCTCTCTTTATTTTCTCCAACTTCTCAACAACATCTTCTAGGGTTTTAATGTACTTAATAGTTTCTTCAACAATGGTTGCCTGGTCTGCCTGCAGCACAAAACAACAGGAAGAAAAAGATCTCGGAAACTTTTTTTAGAGAAAGCTAAAGGAAAAACGAAAAAGATGAAACTCTTGAACAATTTACCCTAATGTGATGAACAGAAGGGACCAAATCTTGAAGTTCTCTCAGATGCAACCTTATCTTCTTCCTTCTTTCTCTCTCTAATGAGGTATGATGATTTTCTCCATCAACCTTGCTGATATCTCTCTTCTGTCTCAAGGGTCTTTGCACACTACTGATTTCCCCAGTAGTGTTATCTGAGTTTGAGAGATTAGCAGACATGGTTGTTTATGTGTGGAGTAATGAGAATGAGGAAGTTTGTCTGTGGAGATGCTAAGATGGAGAATAGAGAGGGATACTTATAACATTGAGATGCCAGGATAGATAATGAAGGAACAGGTGACAAAAATGTCAGCTTGGCTAAGAATCCAAAGTTAAGAATAAAGAAGCTAAATAAATTGCTTAATCTTAATTATTAAAATTAACATTATCTTTTTAAAATATACTTAATATTATGTGTTATATATTAATTTATAAGTTAGATAAATTAATATGAGAAAATTTGATAATAATATGAGTGATAAAATAAATTAAGGTCCTACTTGTAGGATTAAAATTAACTACTACCTCTCATCCTTATTATAAAACCCAATTGACTAATTTGGAGACAATAAAAAGTTACTGAATTACTTTAAAATATTTATATTTATTGTTTTTCTTCCAACTAATTGGCTTCACTTATAAATTGATATATTATCTAATAATACATACAAATATTTTAGAGAGATCATGTAACATATGTTATAATTAAATAATTTTTTTAATCTTCACAAATTAGTCAACTAAATTTTATATTAAGACTGAAAGTAGCATCTAACTAGCTTCTACGATCAGGATGGGAGGGATATCAGGGCAAATGCAATCACAAATAGGCGAGGATGCATGCATATGAAATGAGATGGATATGATTCCTTCTGCTAGAATATCCATCATTTTATTTACCGTTACAAAAATATCACACGTGAATGTTATAGTAGTCTGATTATGTATGAGCTGGATGCTCATAACGTTGAGACGCCAGCCTAGATAATGAAAGAACAGGTGACAAAAATGTGACCTTAGCTTGGCTAATAATCCAGAATTAAAGCAGTAATATCAATGGTAAATGCAATCACATATATACTAGCTAGGCAAGCACACGTGTGTGTGTGTGTGTGTGTGAAATGAGCTGGATACGATTTCTTCTAGAATATATATATATATATATATATATATCATTAAAGTTATAAGAATATTACATATGTCAAAGTGAAAGAATTAGTTACTCAATAATTAATTGGATGGATTCATTATTATTAAGTAGCTGAAATTATCAGACATCAGCAAAATTAAGAGAGTAAAAAAACCGAGAAATATAAGAAATTCATCATAGTTTAATTTGATACCTTATAAAAGAAACATTGGAGAGATTTTTCCTATGCTATAAGAATCGCAATTATGACATAATTTTTCTTCTGCTTAAAAAACCCATTGTTCTAAAATAACCTCAAACTATAAGATTCTTTTAATTATCTCACCAAATATACTTGCTAGGTTTGTGTTAATCTACAACTCTTAGCGGGGAAGACCACATTAAGGGTTTTACAAACCCACCCACAACTTTCACTTAGAACCAATGTAAATTTTTAACGCATAATGTATAATAGCTCTTTTAGATAGGTGGCATTGCAATAAAAACTCAGAATATATGTCTTGTGGTGAGCACTAAAATTCTTTTAAGAAGTCTATCATTGAGAAAATTAGTTATTGCTACCAACAATGGATGCCCTGAGTTTATCACACACACAAAAAAAAGAGCTCAAAATATATAATAACACCTAGAAAATACATAATAATATCTCCGATCTTAATTATAAGATCTTGTTTGTAATTTATAAATAAATGAAGTCTTATAATTAGGACGGAAAATAGTATCATCTGTATAAAAAACAAGAATGCATAATATTATCGCTTGTGCTTTCTTTCTTGGTCTATAAATATATATATGTGTATATATATTTGAATGTCTTCATCTTCCATTATATGCTTCTTCTTTCTCCAAAATCAATTATGTAGTTGTTGCTTTAAACACGCATATTCCCAGTATAGTCCTTCATTTTCTACGTGATCACTCACCATTAATTAAATAATATCTTATGCAATAGTTAGATGGATGAAGCATTTTAGGAAATAGCATGATTTAGGAAACAAATCAATAGAAATTCTATAATTTTGTTTATTATCATCAAATAAATCTCTTATCCATACACTCTGTTTTTTTTTTAATCGTCCTTTCTCCATTGTTTCAATTTGATAATACTGATATCTCCTGATTTTTTTTTTCCGTTGGAAAAAAAGAGTCTACTGATTTTTCGGTTTAACAGAAGTTATAAGTATAGAGTCAGTTGCTGCCACGTGATCTCCTGATGAACAACTAGGAGAGAAGAGGGATATCATCGTAACCTTTTTTGAGCAAATTCCTTTAAAGGATTGAAAAATTGTGAATGTTGAGTAGGAACTTTCTTTTTTAAATTCATTTAGCATGGTACGTAGAACATATTTGTATATGTTTACTACCTCCGCTTCTTAATACTACTTCCAGTCCTAATTATAAGATCTCATTTATAGTTCTAATTATAAAACATCATTTATACTCTATAAATGAGGTCTTATAATTAGGATCAGAAGTAGTATAAGAATTAGTTAGAGAAAATTTGATTTTAAATATAATATTACAATCCACTTTGTTTTTTCTAAAATATCTCTATTGATTATAAGGGCTCTCCACTAATGAATAGTTTTAATGCATATGATTAAAGATAATAGTTAAGAAAAGTCAACACATATTCGTTATAAATAACTTATTTAACTAATTTTTTAAATTTTCTCAAATTAATTATTTAACTCTTACATTAAAAAACGATAAATATAAATAATCTATTTAACTAATTTTTTTAATCTTCTCAAGTTACTTATTTAACTCTTATATTAAAAAACAATAAATATTAGACTACATGAGACAAGCCTCATCCAATACACATATAAAAGGTCGGATTACAATTGAACGAAAAACAAAGACGACATTACCCAATATGAGAAGCGAATAGGAAACCATTTTCTTTATTCTGCCACGGAACCACATCTAAAGTTTACACATTAAATGATCAAACACAAAAGAAATCAACGAAGATTATTAAAGACATCGAATTAACAAGGCAGGAGTTTTCTGGGTAGATTTCAGGAGAGACACCGAATAATTTCTTCAGCAACTTGCTTGAATGTTTCTTCTGCTGAGAATGCCCCTGGAAGCTGAACCGAATCTCTGTTCACCTGCAAGATTCATTCCAAATAATCCTAAATTAGAAATCGTTTAAGTACCATGATTAAATGAAAATGTAGATTTTTTTTTCGTGAAAAAAATCCAGCGCAGACATTGCTAAATTCCATTTCACAATTAAAAGCAAAGATATCTAAACTACTTTTACTTGAAGGCTTCATGAATAGACTCACCTGAATTTCATTGGTTTAATTTCTTCCACCATAAATATATAAAGCGACGTAACACATATAAAATTATAATGCATACTTACCTGTGCTTGAAACATATAGAACCTGCGACTATTGTCACATGAAATGTGAGAAGACAAAACCTCAATCTTATACTTCTCGAGAACACAGCAGATGCTGCTGAAGAGGCAGCGGTTCTTGTAAGAGCAAACACTGAATTGTGCGTCTTGGCCACAAATGTTGACAACCACATTCGGAGAAGTCCAAGTTTGGAACCCTACTGAGTTATTATTATGAGGACTTGGAGGACTTGGGGTGGGTGAGGAGGAAGCTACTTGTTCAGCTATGAAAGCCTCTCTTGAAGTTCCACTGGGATTACCCACATTAGAGCCCACAGAAGATTGAAGTCGTTCCTTTTTCTTCTTTTCCAGATCTTTCAAAGTTTCCTCCAAATTTCTTATGTAGTTCAATGTTTCATCAACTACTGTCACTTTGTCAGTCTGCAAAAGAGATGAGAGAAAGATCATAGCTTTGTTTTTCCTTTGGAATTACAAGTGATATATGTGAGACTGAACCTGTGATTTTTAGCAAGGGAGAGCAAAGTGCCCCTAGGCTACAAGGTCATGACTACGTAAAAGATCATAGTATTCGAGTATATCATCTAAATGACAAAGAGATTCCCAAACTTAGAATAGCGAGGAATTAAGAGTTGAAGCAGTTAATTAATTTACCTTCTTGGGCACATGAGGGAGCATAGCTTGAAGGCTATCAAACAAGGTTTTGATTTTCTTACGCCTGTCCCTGTGAATAGTATCCATCTCATGACCAGTAGCAGTAACACGCTTCTCCTTGCCTCTTGTCATTGAAGGACGATTTGAATTAGAATGCTTGTCCATGAGTTTATCAGAATTATCTGAACAACTGGACCGGATTTCCCTCTCTTGTTCCCTATTATCTGCAAAAGACATGGCTTTAGAGAGAGAGAGATGTGAAAGGTTGGCGTTGAAGAACTCTATTTATAAAGCAATGAAGCAGCCTGAAGAGAGCAAGGGTTTGTTCTCTCATACAGTCGGCTATAGTAGTTGTAATAACAGTCCTCTTGGTTGTTTCTTCCTTCACATGGTTTTTCATCTTCGTGGCTATCTCAGAGTGAAACAGAAGATATTTGTTAAACCTCTGGCGTTAGAGTTTCAACTTTGTTTAGGTTTGTAACAAAGTTGAATGAGACTTCACATGAGAAGGAAGGAATATGTTGTGTGAATATGAATTGTGTGACCTCCTTCTGCAATATAACTGTGAGCTGTCTGGCCTGGGAAACAGAACCTCTCGCATGGAAAGCAATATGTGAATATCAGTTAAAATCTCTTTAAATCACAGTTTCAGAATAAATTTTTGAAAACATAACTGATGCTAGGTGAAGCTTTAGATGGAGAAGATGCTCAGCAACGCGTGTTAGCCCCACTGTAAAAACGTTATTTGCTATTGGGTTGCATGAGATGAACCTGCACCCCTTGGAGTTATCCCAAGCACTTCAAAGTCGTCCACCCAGCAACTTCTGGAGCCTCACCAACAGAAGCAGTAGGATAATCACAGGGTTTTTGAAGAAAGAGAAAATTATTCCCCATATGCATCAAGAGTTAAGTAAGATATATATACCATGTTTTTATGGAATTTAGTTTCATTACAAAGTGCAAACAATCATTTTAATTTGTGTTTTATGAGACAATTTCTCTGACATAACATCACAAAAATACTTAAAATAAGTCGATTGAAACCGGCATTTTATATATGTATATATGAGATTGCTTAGAATACCGGTGCTTAACACTTCAATAATGAGATTTATGTGTTGAATCTGATTTGAACAACCTAGATTTAAAAATTTTAATACAATTTTTTTATACAATGAAAAGTAAGAGGTTAATATTCTTTATTTTAGATTATACATCTATTACAACAAAAATCATTGGAAATTTAAAAATAAAATAATATTAATTATTTTTGGTAAAAAAATAATAATACTAATTCTAAATCGTCTAGTTTTTCATTTTGACAGTCCATATTCAGTGCTTAAGTTACGAGCACCCGAACTCATGTTAACTAATCAAAGGATATTGTCGATACCTACTTGTTCTCGCGTTAAGTCTACCTAACATGTTTAGATGGAGCCCTGATTTTGAATCATTGGCGTCTTTTGTGCTTGTCACATATTTAGTTGGATTTTTGGATCGCTTGAGGCTCGCCATGCAAGTAAAATTTATTATTGCATTTCTATTATAATTGCATTCTAAATTGTTTTCCTAGATTACCAATGTGATATTTTTTTTCATGTCTATTACTACATTCCCTTCTTAATATAAGACCTCGTTTGACTTTTATTTTGATCCTCAATATAAAATCCCAATACACTTTGTCTCTCATATTTATTCATTTTTTCTTAAGATAGTCTTCTAATAATAGTAGTTCTAGTCAATAAATTTGATTAGCAAGGATATTTTAGAAAAGACAATACATATTTATTACAGATAACTAACTTAACTTATTTTCACATTTTGGATGTTCTAATTGTCCTCGTTAAATGAACCTACTTTTCTCGCGTGTGGATTAACATGAATGCTACTACTAATATCCAATATGAACCTGATCAATGCTAGGCAACAATAGATGGTAGCAGTGTTTTTAAGTTTTTACTAGATTTTGTTTGCCCAAGGAATAAATGCCGTAGAAGATTCCGTCAAAAAATGGCGCAGAAGGCAAATTTTCATGATAAAATAGTGTCAAAACATAATTAATTTAATTGGAAAAAATTTGGATAAACCTTTTTTATATGTTTATTTTGAGACGCTATGTGTGGGGATAGAAGTAGAACCCTCCACCCCTAGCATGCAAAGGGACCACTTTGCCATTAAGGTAATGCATCTGGTGGTAGTGTACCTATTCTAAATGATTTTGAATCATTTAAAAGTAGTTATTATCATATTTATACATTACACATATCCCTAGTGAAAAAGTATATTATGAACGTTTGTTATATATAACAACAACAAAATTCCAGCAGTTTTTTTTTTTTTTTGTTAAGTTCAGAATATCTACTACGTCAGCAGTAGTGGTGACTAATTCTCTTCTTGAGAAAATTTTAGTGTTAACCAAGCGATCCTCTCCCCACACACCATGAGGGTAGTTCTTGCGATATTTTTAAGTAAGATACGCCGCTTCTTAGGCGGCATGGAATAATACATTCAGAAAAATTAATAAATCTAGGAATTCAGGCCACTCATCATTACCCACGGAAAGGATTCTTAAATAGTTCTTACTAAATAAAGATGTTTGCGTTAAATAAATCAAAGAACATATTTATACATATCAATGGGAATCTCTCTCGCCCATATATATATATATATATATATGTTCATTATTTTCATTAACTTAACTATAGTCTAGTCAGGTTTTAGCCCACAACTCAACCAGTCTATGCTCTGACGCAAATTATCTTAATCATCGGATTCTCGATCTACTAAGAAAATTCCCGTAGTTACTTAGTTTTTTAGGGAATCTACATACGGTCGTGTTGTTGGGTATCTACTATTATCCTACCTAATGTGAAGTTAAAAACTTTGGCCAAAAAAAAAGTGAAAGTTAAAAAAAGAAAGATTAACAATGCAAGCACTACTCAAGATAGGGATTGCTTGGGTTAAAGCAGGCCAGTGCATATCACGTACGTGTCCAGTAGAGGCAGACAAGGTATTCTACATCAACAGACATCAACAATAAACCTACAATTGAGATAAAGTTCAAGGGTTTTTACATCATAAATGAACTGTAATTATCCATATTTTTTTAGAAAAGAAAATGTATATGCAGAATTCTATTACTCAAGCACCAATTTCTTTACTCTGTCTTTTTTAACCGTTTTTTTAATTGAGTTTCCTTTCCTATCCATCAGATGGCAAAGTCCTGTCACTCATAAGGAGCAGCAAGTTCATCAAATGAAATAAAGCTAAGGTCTAAAGTCTTAAAAGACAGTTCTTTCAGGTTCAACTTGATAGAGATTCTCCATCATCTTGCTAAGGCTGTTGTTTTGCAAATAGGGCACAGGTTCTTCTGCATTAGCCACTGCTTGATACAGTCGGTGTGGAATTCGTGTCCACAATCTAGTGAGGCTACATCCTCCCCATCAGCGTATTGCTCCTGCCATTGATGGACAATTAAATGCAGTCATTGACAGGTATATAACAGTTATGAGCTATAACGTACGAGCATTATTCCGCACCGCTTTTCTTAGAGTGGGTTTAGATTAGCTTTTTAAAAATGATTTTACAGTATACGAGATAAGTATGCGAGAGGAGTTTTGTCTTAGTTTGCATGAAAATACTTATGAGAAGCTAATCCAAACACCACCTCAAACTAACTGAGACAACCACTGTAAATACCTGACAGATACAACAAGGTTCCATATCTGTAGAAGACCAGTCATGACAGACGTGTAGATCCGATGTTTCATCAACGTCATAATGGTATCCTCGCTCAATCCAGTGCTCACATCTCCGATGCGCTCCTCCAATGCCAGCAATTCCTGAAATCCCAGTGACACTTGAGAGAAGCAACATGAGGGAAACACATATTCCCCTCTCCCATGAGGGAGAGCTTAAGCACACAGCCTCTCCTCTATTATTAAAATGTGCACGGGCCTCTCTCTACTTCAAAACTATACTACAACTACCTCCAATTAGAGCAGGGGATCTGTCTGGCTCCAAATTCTAGCCGTCAGAGACCCAACGACACAAGTTTTCACTAAAATACCTTCCATTAACACCTTCATATGATGAATATCTTTACTTGCAGGGGCATATGGAAGGTTCTTCACAATAAGAGGACTTTTTCATCGGACTTACTTGAAGCATCTTTTGTTTTAAGAGAAATTCGTGCCTATAATTAGACGCTGTCATAAATTCTCTCAAGGAAGAGAATTGTATTTTGTCCGGTTCAGAAAGCCAACTTTTCATGGAACATAAATTAGGAACAATTTCTTTTCAATGGAACATGTAAGGGAATTCAATCTTTCTTTCTTTTACCTCATAAGACATGTTATCAACATCAAGGCGCAGGTCCCTGTGCCTATCATGTAGTTCAGCCATACCATGATATATGAACGGGTCAAAGAGCATATAATCCTGAATCACGAGTAACACAGGAAACATCTTCAAGTTAGTATTCTCGATTATCAGCATAGCGTATTACTAAGTCCAACTTAAAGATTGCCCTCACAAGCTACCAGCACAGAGTTTAATTCAAAAACAACATACACATCATAAAGATCACGACTGTTTTTCCTATATGTTCGCTTCCAATGAAGTTCAGATAGTGGGGCCAGGTTGTGAGAATTGCACACCCATTATTTGGTCCAAACCTAAATTATTATCGTTCAGAAATAAGAGATATATTAAAGTTGCTAAGCTCAACATATGAACTTAACTAAGAATCTAATTGAATTTGCAAAATTTAAAACCTTTACTTTCACATACATTCAAGCTTTACTAGCCAGGCACAAAATCTGGCCAAATTTACCCTTGGTAGCAGTCAAAATCAAGCATCCCGTGATAAAAAAAGGCACGAACTTGATATTCAGCATAAGACAGTTTCCATTGCAATGCTCAACATAAGGAAAAGCACAACTACCTCAAAAACTGTGACCACACACAAACTTATCTCCTCTGAAAGAAGGTGAAACATGGGAAGCTGCAAATTGTCAACTAGATATTCCCATTCTTATTTACTGAGATAAAATAAAAGGAAAATGAGTAGCAAGCAAATTAATACACCATCAACATCAATGAACCGATGACAATAACTCATCTACCACTAATTTCACCACACAATAGGAAGTCACCAACTATACATATATAAGATTGTGAGTGAAAACACAAACCTCAGCTCGTAAGTTCTCACCCCTGCGCATTGCACTTAAGAC